CTATGGTGGCAAATCATAGAATATCATAGTCTTCAAAGGATTAGTGTTGCATGTCATTCAAGGAGTAATGGAAAGGTATACAATGGATATGGATAAGCAGTAACACGTTGTTGTCGAGTCTTTTGTTCAGTCATTTTGGACTCTTCAGGACCCTATTTGGGTTTGTTTGTTTTTTTGGCAAAGATATTGGAGTGGTTTGCCATTTCCTTCTCCAGCTCCTTTTACAGATTAGGAAACTGAGGCAAAGAGGGTTAAGTGACTTGCCCAGGGTCACACAGCAAGTAAATATCTGAGGCCAAATTTGATTCAGGTCTTCCTGACTCCAGGCCAGTGCTCCTATCCTCTGTGCCTCCTCAGAGAGACATATAACCAGAGAAGTCAATATATTGGGCAGGTAGTGAAAGTTAGGGGCTAGTCAGTGGACAACATATAGCCTCAAAATGATACCCACATGATGGCAAAAGAACTAGAGCAAGACCCTGCCCATAAAGGGTGGGCTTCCTAGGAATATTAAGGGAAGACATGGGCAAGGGTCACCAGCATGGGCAAACCTGGAGAAATCATGATCTCTACTGTTGAAAAAAGTTCCCAGGGAACACCATCACAGATCCATCAAAGTACTAGAGTATGCTGAAAACAATCAACCAGCAAGCATTTATTTTTTTATTTAGTTTTGGCTGGGCAATGGGGTTAAGTGACTTGCCCAGGGATTTGAACTCAGGTCCTCCTGAATCCAGGGCCAGTGCTCTATCCACTAGGACACCTAGCTGCCCCACCAGCAAGCATTTATTAAGCACTTACTGTGTGCCAGGAGTTAAGCTAGGAGCTCTGGACACAACTACAAAGCTTAGGGAACTAAAGGGAACGTACTTAACATCTCATCAAATTACAAAAAGAAGAAGTAAGAAGTACTTTCTACAATTTGCAAATTTCCCTCACTCTGAATTTTGTCTCTCAAAGATACCCTCCTCGAGCGCTTAGGAAACTCACTGATGAGCTCACCTTCTCCTGAACCACATACAGAGAAGAGCTACAGTATCACAAGTATGTAAGACTCTTTATAAAAAAGAGTACACATTTCTTCTGTGCCAAATGACAGAAATCTACATTGTGGGTAACCTAAAAATTAGTGGAAAGAGACTGTTATTTCTGAAGATGATTTACATTCAAGAAGGAGTGTGAGGGATATCTCTGAGGAATTGTAGGGCCAGGAAAGAAAGTGGACAAAAGGGATGTGCTGGAGTCAGCTCTTATGGCTTTGGAGAGCTGATTGTTAAATTTTCCATGTAAGTATTTACACCTTGGCTCTCTGAAAGCACTACAAATCAAGGCTTGATTTATTGTTTTGTTTATTTATAGACTTAAGAAATAGATGGAGAAAATGTTTTAAATGCAGATTAAAATTGAGCACATTATGCATAATTTTTTCCCCCTAGAGGGCTGGGTGTTAAACATTTACCAACACACCGTTGGGTGGATCATAGTAACAAATGGACAGTCCAAGTATTCCACCAATTCTCACAAAACCTAGAAAGACGTCTAAGAAGACCTCCAGCATTCGGGGGACAGGGACGCTATGTAAAGGATTTGTGGGAGAATGTGAACAAATATCACAGAAAATAAAAAGATGTGGCTGGGTCTTAATCTGAACCAGTGAAGGGATTACCTGAATCATCAGTAAGACCATGGGTACTTGGAAGCACTGAAGGATCTAGGTCCACCATATTTGGTAGCCCATCTTATGCAATTTTTGTCATTCCTAACACCAAGACCCATTAATATTCCTAGCTCTGCATAACTCATGGAATATGGAACGTTGTTGTGGCTGTTTTTCCAGGCATTTTATTGCCACAATTTCTGATATCATAGCCAGGAAGATTGTCAGCAAGCATCCCACAGTGATATCCCAGAGATGATCAACAAACTGCTCTAAACTCAGCAAAGGAAGCTGGTCTTGTAGATCGTCCAACAGACATAAGCTGCACTCTAATCTGGTCCATACACAGGGGAACTTGTGAAATGGAAGCCCTTGGACCAGATGACCTCCATGATTGAGGCCACACAGTAGAATGAATAGAACACTCCACCTGGAGTTAGAAAGATAAGAGGAAAACATGAGTCCAAATTCCCAAATTCTGTCTCTGAAGGACTAGAAGTGTCACGTGATCTCTTTGGGCTTCAGTTTCCTTATCTGTAAAATGAGAGGGTTGGACTCCATGATCTCCAAGGTCCTTCCAGCTCCAATTCTATGATGCTATAAACTGGATTCTGAATCTTAGTTCTTACTTACCACTGATGTGACCACGAGGGCGGCTATGTAGTAGAGGGGATAGAGTACCAGGCCTAGAGTCAGGAAGACCCGAATTCAAATCCGGCCTCAGGCACCTACTAGCTTTGTGATCCTGGGTAAGTCACTTAACCCTCTTTGCCTCAGTTTCCTCAACTGTAAAATGAGCTGCAGAAGGAAACAGCAAACCACTCCAGTATCTTTGTCAAGAAAACCCCAAATGGGGTCACAAACAGTTGGACATGACTGAAACAACTGAACAGCATGTGACTACAAGCAAGTCAAAAACCGACCTCCCCAAACCTCAACACCATTCCCTTTCCTCGCGATATTTTCAACTTGTTATTTATCATCTCAAGCACCAGATCTTAGATATGAAGCTGGAACAAATCTTGGAGATCACTGAACCTGGCTCACCCCCCACTTTTTACAAACAAGAAAATTTAAGACCCAGAGAAGGGAATGACTTGTCAGAGGTCACAAAGGCTTCAAGAGGCAGAACCAGGAATCCAACATGAGATTCCCGATGGCATGCCCATTGCTCCCTCCACCATGCCATCCAAACAGGCTTGCACTGAGTGCCTCCTTCAGGGGTTATGAAAAGTGGGGGAGAAAGAAATCCTCAAGTCTCAGGGCATGAGCTTTCATTACCTTTATATTGTGTGCCTGCTTATAAACATTCATCATAAAATTACCCAGCCCTTGTAGAAATCTGGCTCCAATGTGTTATTTTCTGAACCCTTTTAAAAATACAGAATTGAAGCTGGTTCAATTTCACCAACCTTCCTTTTTAAACTATTCATTTTCCAAGAACAGAATTCAGTGGTCCCACCAGTCCGATAGCTTTAGAGCTATGCAGGTTTGGATCTGGTAGGAAGAGGCGTGGGCCATGGAAAGACCACTGAACTTGAAGCCAAAAGGCCTGGGATTAAATCCTGACTCTGCTATTTCATACCTTATAGGACCTTGAGCAAGTCACATCCTCTCTGGGGATCAGTTTCCTCATCTGCAGAACGAAGAATGACCTCTGAGGACCCTTTCAGTTCTAATCTATGATTCTATGACCTGAGTTAAAGATCTAGCTTTGGGTCCTGCTGTTTGTAAGGTACTTTACCTGACTGGGTATCAGTTTCCTCATTTATAAAATAAGGAGATCTGAGATCCCATTAAAGGAATTCAAAGGTCAGTTGTAGCTCCATAGCCTATAAATCTAGGAGCATTTATTGAGCATCTACTATATGCCTGGCCTTGAGCTGGCTGCTGCCAATGAAAAGACAAAAATGACAAAAGAAAAAAGAAAAAACCCTGCACCCAAGGAATTTACATTCTTTATGAGGGAGGGGGGACTTGAGTAAACTTAAGTAAATATAAAATAAAAAGAGTAAAAAGTATATATAAAAAGTAAATATAAAATAAATGCAAAGAAAATAGGAAGTAATATTAAGGAGGAGGCCTCAACAGATGGGCGAATCAGGAAAGGCTTCATGTAACAGCTGGTGTCTGAGCTGAGCTTTGAGGGAAACCAGGGATTCTAAGAGGTAGAGGTGAGAGAGAAGGCATCCCTGGTACAGTCACAGCCTGAGAAAGGGTGAGGAGACTGGAGATGGATTACGCTGTGTGAGGTGCAGCAACCAGGCCTCTTTGGCTAGATTGGAGAGTGAATGAAGGGTAATAAGCCTCTAGCTGGATTTACACATTTTTTTTTTTTTGCACAAATATCAATAAACATTTGTGGCCTGAGAGTAGAGGAGCTATCTGTCACCTATGCTCTGTAGGAACTGGAAGTCTTTTGAAAAATAAATTCAGCATAGGAGCCCTGCGTGTGTCTGGGAAAGGTATATATCTTCCAAATGGATTCAACGTGAGAGCGACCCCACTAACCTCCCGGGTGACGAAAGCCCTTCCATTGTGGAGATTCTTTTACTCCGTTGGCACCTGCCTACCAAATACATGGGAGATGAAAATCAGCTTCCTTTCAGCCAGTTCAGCTGTGGTCTCCAGCCTGCCTGCGTCCTCACTGGACAAAGGCTGCCTTCGCTCCCCCTCTCCCCCAATAAACCCAAAATAGACCCACTAAGGGCGGGAAGTCCTCGGAAGTGCCCTCTCTGGTCGCAGATCCCTCCTTCCTCCCCATTCCAGGCCTCCCTTAGCTTTGGCCGGATCTTAATAGAGTACTCCGTCTTGATCTGGGCTCCCCCAGGAAAGATGGCTGCGGAGAATTTACAGAGAACTCCATGGCGTGGCACAGAATTGAAGAATAAGGCTTCGGAGGGAAGGTTCGGGCACCGGGGTCACTCAGGCCCCAAGGGAGAGCCGACAGGTGACTGTTGGCACATCAGCCTGTTATCCGGGGGCTGGTGACCAGCTGCTCCTCCTCCGGGGGGGGAGGGGGGGCTATAGGTGTCATGGTACAGAGGAGATGCGAGCCCCAAAGATGGAGGGGGAGCTCGGAGGGCCGGCACCAGCCCTGGGGGGACCAGGGAGGGCAGGGAGCCTGCGCTGAGCCTCAGCGATCAAACACTGGAAGGTGACCCTCCCAGACTGGCAACTCCAACCCCTTTATTTTACAGAAGGGGAAAGTGAAGCCCAGGATAGTGAAGTGGCTTGGGGAACAGGATTTCTCCCAACTCCCTCTCCCCCTCCAGCCCCCTCCTCCTTCGCCAGCCCCCACCAGACCCGCCCCCAGCTCCGCCCCCTCCCTCTGCGAGGTTCCCATGGCAACAAAGGACGCTTCTGCTGCGAGCGTGAGCATGGCCAGTCCCTCCTCATCCCTGATCCAGGTAGGGGTTCCCTCCTTCCTTCTCTTCCCCCCCCCACCGGGTCTCAGCCCCATGGGGCCCCTGGAGGGTTCATGTCTCCCAAGTCTCTGGGCTGGCAACAGGGGAAAGGAAAATATAGGTTGGGGAAAGGGGGGAGTGCTAAGGTTTCTAGATGAGGTGGAGGAACCGGTAACTCTGAGCACCTCAAGGTTTAGCACTGGGAGGGACCTTGGTGAGCATCCAGTCCAATGACCTCATTTTATAGACAACAGGAGTGATCCTGAGTCTGGAGGGAGGGCTGGGCTCGGAGTCAGGAAGCCAGGCTCAAATCCCCTCTCCCATACTTCCTAGCCACGCCTTAGTTCCCCTCTCTTTAAAATGAGGGGAGAGATGGACTGGATACCCTCCAAGATCCCTTCCAGCTCTAAATTTATTATCATAACTTGGCCAAAGTCACAGTAAATATCAGAGCTAGGATTTGAACCCAGGGCTCTGACTCGAAATTCAATGCAGTTTGCAAGCTCTTCGAGGTTTTTTATCGTTTTAATAAAATATAGCATCATCTGTATTTAATAAGAGATAAGCTACATCAGACACAGAACTAGAAACACCCTCAGACATTAAGGCTAGGCCCCTCACTGTAAAGATGAAGAAACTGAGGCCAGGACACTTGAAGTAACTTGGCATCGATTGCAGATAGATTTCACCTTCTAGCCTCCAAGAAAGTTTGAGAGACAGGAAGTCTAGAGTAATAATAATAATAATTTTTATATAGCAACTTAGAAAGCACTTCCTCACTACACTTCTGGGACAGCCTGGGCAGCACAAAGAGTACTATCCCCTTTTACAAAACCAAGGCTCAGAGAGGGAGCTGGCTTGCTCACTGTCACACAGCCAGTGGGAATACTACAAGATTAGGAGTCAGCGAGCCAGGGATCCTGCTGGTTGTACTCCCCGGCTCTTAAAACCTGTGTGACCTCAGGCAAGTGACTCAGGCCTCTCTGGGCCTCATGAATTCTCCCCGATGAGGGGCTTGACCTAAGTCTGCCATTGCATAATGAAAAAAAAGCAGAGATTCAGAAGACATAGGTTCAAGTCCTGGTTTGGGCCTCAGTTTCTTCATAAGTCAAATGAGGGTCTCTAAGGCCCCTTCTAAATCCTTTAACACTTGTAAGAGTAAACTGTGCCATTTGTTCTCACAAGCAGGGCTTGGGGAGAAAGTCAGCAAGAATTTTTTTTTTTAAATGGTTTTTTAAAAAAATTATTCTGTTAAATATTTCCCAGTTACATGTAAAAAAAAAAAGGTGTTTTTTTTTAACAATTTTAAAAAATGAGTTCCAAATTCTTTCCATCTCTCCTGTTCATACTCCTCCTTAAGAGGACAAGCAATTTGATATTGCTTATACATGTGAAGGCATGCAAAACATATCTCTATATTAGCTATGTTGCAAAAGGAAACACAAACAAAATAAAACAAAAATAATGAATTTTTCTTAAAAGTCTGCTTCAATCTGAGCACCCAGACTTCATTGGTTTCTCTCTCTCTCTCTCTCTCTCTCTCTCTCTCTCTCTCTCTCTC